GAATTTTGTCTTTACTAACTTATTTACATACACTCCAATGTTTAGCTATTATTTCTGATTTCTGTGTTCTTATCAGAGCTGGACAAGTCAAGTCAAAAATGATTTAAGTCAAGTCATTTTTGGCTTGACTTCATTTGACGTGAGAAATTTTTTATGATTCATGACTTGACTTGACCTGACTTGAAATTTTTTTTAAAAACTTGATTTGGCATAAAAAATCAAGTCAAGTCGCGTATATTTTTAAACCTCTTATGCCATCTAATTTTAAATAATAATTCATAATGTTTTGGGAATGTTGATGTTATAACGTAACGTCTCAACTGAGATAAACGGCAAATAGAAAGTTTAGGTACATTTTTGAGTTGTAGACGTCTTATCATGAACTGGTAAAATAATTTTAATTATGATTTTTCTTCTATTTGATTATTCTCAAGACAATATATTGTCTGTGTTCCATTGCACGTCTCGGAGATCTAATAACATGAAAGTACTAAAATGAAATTTCATCATCAACTTTAATATATATAGATAGAGCCAACTTTTTAGCTAATCGTTGCTTGGCCAAGAGCAGAAAACGAGGAAGAAACGAAGTGAAAAGAATTCTCCTCTGAAAGAATTAGGAAAAACGTTTATGAAAATAAAATCAGTTAATGGTGCAATGGTGCAATTTATTTTATTAGATCTCGGAGGCGTTTGAACGAAAGGAAGAACAGCGACTTCTAGAGTAAAGAAATAACTGAGGTAATGAAAAAAGTAAGAGTAAACAAATTTTTGATAAAACGGATAGGATTCTTATCGATGGAATCTTATCAGTTTCTTATATAAGATTGGTTAAGATTTCCGATCGATGGTCGTCAGTGGCTTATAAGAATCAGGTAAGATTTTCATAAGAGGTTTGTAAGAACTTCATAAGCCAAAACTTCTTATGTTATTTTTATCTACTAGAACGCAACTTATGAGTCAGTTTTACGATTTCTATTATGATTAAGTTGCTTCTCTTGGCTCAGGCAGTGGCGTATTCAGAAATTTTTAACTAGTGGGCAATTCTCCAGTCAAATTATTTTGAGAGGTGGGCAGCAATGGACAATTGAAAAATCTATTGGGCAATAATTTTTAAAAACTTATTGACACTATAAAAGCCGATGGTTACAGAAGAGAAATTCGTCAACCTCAACTAACAGAACAGCTGGCTCACTTTCTTTGTGTTGAACAGCTAAGCATTCATCAGCGGATTTATATGTAGTACCGAGTATTTTAACGAAAGGGTATCACTGAATCGTCATCATTGAGATCATTGGTTAGATAGAAAAGACTGCCGATTGATTTTTCTGCAACAACTGATTAGATCTCATCTTAAGAGGTTCATTAAAATTACATCATTTGAGTCATTAAACGTACACGAGTATCAAAATTTTTTTGCAGTGGGCAATTGCCATTATCTCAAAAAACTGATGGGCAATAAATTTTGGACTGGTGGGCAATTGCCCACTATCTGGATACGCCACTGGGCTCAGGTGACCATAACGGTGATCTCTTCTGCTGACTTGTGATTTGTGAGTCATGTTCGTATAACTGTTATTTTTAAAAATGTAAAAATTTTCCTAGGATGTATTAACTAGTCAACTTATACTAGTTCATAATAATCTTACAAGAATCTTATAAGAATAAAGTACGAGTTTTGCTGACTCTTATCAATTTCTTATGAATTCTTGTGAGATTCCTATAAGATTCAGCAGAATTCTTGTCACTTTCGTGGAAGATCTTATATAAGAATTGTGTAAGATTCTTATAAGATTTCATAAATATTTTTTGTCTAGGATGAGATACAAAATTATATATTTTTCAAAAATATCCCATTGGAAAGCCTTTGAAGTTCTCTACAAATTCAGCTAGTCAGAATACCTTGACTGGTTAGGTCAGTTACCAGAGACATGCAAAATACGTGTTGGACTCCGTAAAACAGCTGCAGAATACTCTTTTAGAAGTCTTTTCTGTCCTGATAAAAAACTAAATATTTTTCACAGGGATGCAATCGGATAGGCCCGTGAAAGTCCCTACAAATTGGACTGGTCAGAAAATCTAGATAGGTGGGGCCAGCCATTAAAGATATGCAAGAGAAGCGTTTGGGTGTTATATATGCAGTAGAATGTGTCATAATCATAAGAACTTTGTCTCTGATCTTTCAGTAAAAGCTGGAACCAATCTGAAAATTGTTTCGGATGGCCCGAAAATTTTTTTATCAGATGAAGTGCATATCGCCATTTTATGAGAAAACTTGATAATAGGGTTTCTGAAAAACCAGACCGCTAGAATACCAGGTCTTTGATTATTGGTCAGGAAATTTTGCAAATCATATAGGCTGATGGAGCAAAGAATTCTGAACAACATATGATATCTCTCGGCTGCCTATAATGCTTTTTCACCCAACTGCAGTCGAGTTACGAATGGCTGAAAAGGCGGTGAAAATCATCAAAGCATTCCAATCAAAAAGCATTATAGACAGCCGAAAGATATCATATTTTGCTCTTAAACCGTAATAAACCCGGTTTACCGCGGTCCTTGCATTTTTTACTGCCTTTACTCTTTTATTGCCTTTAATCTTTTACTGTCTTTAGTCTTTTACTGCCTTTACTCTTTTTACTGCCTTTATTTTTCTACGCAATTGAATGGAAATCCTTTTCGGGTTCGCTCACATCGAGCTTCGAACGTACACACACAAATTTGCGCGTGTGTCTGTATCAAAGAAATGCGTAAATTTGTATTCTAACATATATAGTCAAACTGTTATTGGCTAGGACTTGTATCTTACAAAAAGGACCAAAATAGTAAAGGGAGTAAAAGACTAGAAGGACTAAAGTGAATAAGAAAATAAACGACATATCCAGTCATCCAGTAGTATAAGTTTTTCATAGATAAAACATCTCGGGACAAACTTTGTACCTTCTCCCATCTCCATTTGAAAAGCAATGTACCGTTGCATGAGAAGCTATTTTTTTGCTGTGCTACAATGGTGGTTAAGTTTGTGCGCTTTTCAATTTTTTGTTTGTTCTTGAATAAACTTGCAAATAGCGTAATTTGTTTATAGTCTTTCAAACTACATCGAAGGTAAATTAGATTTACTTTCTTAATAAATTGACATCTTCTTTTCTTTTGTGTGTAGAGTTGTAATGAATTCAGATAATATATATATTCATAAAAAAAGAAAATAGTCAGGATTATAAGTAAATTTTGAACAAATAAACCATGTGCTTAGATAACTAACTTATATACTCATGCATTCAGGTGATTAATTTGATGAAAAGAAAATTTCTCAAGTATGTTCAAACAGAAGAATGAAACTCTCGGTAGCTATGTGAAATAATAAAAGAAAAATATATCGATTATTTTTGAAGCAGAGCAGTAAATATTATTTTGCTTCATATAGGATATACCAGTTTTATTTTGAATTTTCATTTTTGAAAGACAGAGACATTTTAACAAAACGGCTAAGAACAAGCTAAACATTTGATGACGAATGTGTTAACTCTTTTTCTGTGGGTTTTGTAAGTACAGTGGATGTTGCTTTATTCACTATTGTCTTTCTAATGAACTCTTCCCTCTCTTTGATGTTGGTAAAAGAGTATCCAATGGTCAACAAACAAGTAAGACTTGTTTTATTTTCTTTCTTAGACTAAGAGAAGTCTGTTCTTTTTCTCATTTCTTTTGCAGCAACATTATCTCCAACAAATGGTAATTCAACTTGTCTGCCATCAGCATGTATTAGCCGTAGTGTTGGTGGTAAATCATTATGTTCTTCAAATTTGGATTGTGAATGTTTTACACTGACGAACAGTGCAACAACGGGAATCTGTGCTGTAGCAGATCTAGTGTGCTCGAATGTTATCAGATGTAATTTAGATAATATTACATGTTCAACACCAAATACAATTTGTGTTAATAATACACGGTGTCATCAGCCCGTCTTTTATTCATTAGCATTTGCTTCTACACAGCTATGTCCACCATAAAATTCGACTACGGGCACCGCGACTGTCGCAACAACGCAATGTTTCGCGCTGATTACGAATTTGATACACCTGAGAAATAAAATTTGAATTTTCAACAAGAAAATTCAGATTTAAATATTTTATAAAGTTTAACTTCACTTTTTTGAGCTCAAAATCTTGTTTTAATGAATTAAAAATTACATCATTCGATTGAGAATCAAATTCTCTACAAAATGGCTCATTTTGTTTTGAAAGTGGATTTTAGGATGCAAATCTATGCTTTCTAGAGCTTTCGATGTTTCAGCAAACTTTTTGACTGGACAAAAAAGTTTCCAACTCCAAGTTTTGCGAAAATCGCTAGAAAATGCTCATATGTCCGACAAGTATGTAAAAAAAACTTTTTTGAGGACGCTGAGTGCCACAAAATACACCGAACAAAACGTGTGTCACAACGTCAACTATTAAAAACGCATCTTCTCAGCGCCGAAAAAAATTTTTTTATCTATAAGCCCTAGATTCAAGTCAAATTTTCTAATTTCTACAACACAAACACAATAGACTGATCTGCGTAAAACGACGCCAGAACCAGTCCCCTTGCAAGTATAGCTTTTGAAAAAGAGAGTTACTATGTCAATAACGTCACAGCGTCACACTTGGATGTGATGGAACTATTTACGTTTATAGTATAGCACTCCATCGTTTCCGATGTTGATGAAACGACTGTTAGCTGTGATGGAACTATGTGGAAAACAGAAAAGAACTGACTTGAGAGAAGTATTCTGCTTATTGATTGCTGAGAAAAGGCAATAAATATTCATTGGAATTCGAAAACTTCTAAGTATTCGAAATTTCGCAAAAAAGTCTAGAAATCTCAATCGACCATCACTTTAAAATTCCAGGAATTTGGAATTGTCAATTTATGAGAATATGCAGTTCAGAATTCTGGCGGAATTAGGATTAGGACGGTTCTGTGAGCAATACGTGGTGTGTGGAACTCTATGTTTCGTAATGTTACACTTATTAACGGGTAAGAATTTTAAAACTATGGAGATGCTATCATCTCTATAGTTTTAAAATTCTTACCCGTTAATAAGTGTAACCACATTTTCTTCCCTTGGCAAATCAGCCACTGCTATATGCTTGACTAGACTACTTCCAAGAAGCAACATTTTTTCAAAATCTGAACATGATGTGTAAGTGTTATAAAGTATTCAGCAGATGTACGATGACGAAAAATAACAACAACAGGAATAAGCCGCTGTAATATGATGTCGTAACTGAACACATTAGGAAATCGATTTGCATTTAGAAACGCAGCAAGGTCAACCGGCTTGTGGAAAGGAAGTTCATACACAAAACTCAGCAAATGACCGAGTCAATTTTTCTTTATCTACTAGAATAGTTAAACTAAAAATGAAGAGTAAAACCGTATCTATTTTCCTGATTATAAAAAATTCTGCCATCAGATCACTTAGATCTAATTCACATTCAGAATCTTATTACTAACAAATGACATGCCAGAATTTTTCAAAACATTGCGTGACACTTAAATCTATCTTTCAGCACGATTTGAATCTTTAAGATCGGCTGCACATTTTACTGCAGACTTAAGTTTTGGCATTCAGCCTCTGATAATAATGAATTTCTATGAGTTAAACTGTTTCTTAAATCGCTTTTCCGCGAACGCAACCTCGTACACCGATCTCTTCAATTTTTGGCGCCTATAAGTATTTTTTTCATTACTGCGGCGGTGTCTATGCAAGTGCCTCTATATTTCACACAGCTGGTCTATGATTCGTCCATTCCAGCGACATCTATCGTGGAAATTATTTATAGAAATTCAACCTCGATTTTCTATAAACTGGAAAATCAAAATCGAATTTCCAGATTCTTGGAAATTATTTATAGAAATTCGATTGATTTTCTATAAACTGGAAAATCGCCGGGGATTTTCTAGTTTATAGAAAATCCTCAGCGATTCTCCACCTTTATAGAAAATCGAATTTATGGAAAATCAAGTCGATTTTCTATAAAGTAGAAAATCAACATTTCCCAGAAAGCTGGAAATTCGTCGAGGAATTTCTATAAACTAGAAAATCCCCGGCGATTTTTCGGTTGATTTTCTATAAACTAGAAATTAATTCAAGATTACAGTGTAGGAAAAGCTGTCCCGCATTTTTTTCTCAGCAGAGCATCCTTTGAACGAAGTTCTGAGTTTCTTTTCAAAATTATTCAATGTCAACGCTCAGTTCCTTTTCCTTCGTTTTTTTGCAAACTCTATAAAAAATGCGTTTAAAAAGTGCACATTTTTATAATCAAAAGAAAAGAATGAAAGAAAGCAAAAACATGATGACTAATAAATTTCTGTTGCACTCGAAATTGTAAACACTTTTTGTATAATTTTTATTTACGTTCTTTCTACTTCAATTGAAATAACAGTAAAAAGGGTAATAAAAAAAGAAGAAAGCATGAAACATTTATAAAAAAGTTGACGTCAACTTTGAGATTTTAGCTAGAATTTTCCAACGTGGAAAGTGTAAGAATATTGAGACAAACAAAATCTGTCTGTACGTATCAGTTTTACGTGCTGCCTGTTTGTATACACGTCTTGCTCACCGATTGACCTAAACGTTTTCACGTAGGTTTTTTTCCGGCGAGTCTGTGTAAACCAGTAAATTATGGCAGAACCATTTCTTATTATTTGGCTGATGGATCAAGTAAATAGTGACAATGAAAATGCACTTCATTTGCGTACTCTTGTCGCTAACGATAATCTCCAAACATATCACAGCTGGGACGAATGTATTGATTTTATAACTGATATTAAGGAAATTTCCATGAAAATCTATCTTATTATTTCGTTATCATCGCTGACCGAAGCGAGTGAAACGTTGATAAACACAGCTGAAGAATTGTCAAAAATTGATTCGGTTTATATTCTGTGTTCAACTGCATCCTTTCCTGCAATTTCTTCTGCAGCTGACACTAAAATACGCGGAATTTACACCGATTATCAGTCTTTAGTCAATCAACTACTGCGCACGATGAGCATTGAGCGGTATCGTTACAGACGTTTTGCTAGCGATGATTTCACTGTAACTGCAATGATGCCGTTACCGATCGTCGCGGTCACTACACTTCAGTCTTCTTCATTAGCTACTAACACAACTACCACGGCGAAAAGACAAGAAGCTGAATTTATGTATTCACAGTTGGCAAGAGACATTTTAGTTTCAATGGAATCGAGTGAAACGGAAATGCTTGAATTTCGTCGTCAGCAGTACGCTGATAATGAAGCACAGCTACGTTTTATCCAAGAATTTGAAGAGTATTACGAGTCGTGTAACGCTATCTTCTGGTATACACGTGATACATTTCTCTATCGTCTTCTGAATAAGGCCTTGAGAGAACAGGAAATTGATACATTGTATTCACTGAGATACTTCATTAGACATCTTCATTTACAATTGAAAGACTTTCATTCTAAACAATTATCAGCAAATACAACTGCAGAAAATGATGAAATAGTCACTGTGTACCGTGGACAGTCGATTAAAAACGAGGAATTTGAACGTAAAATACGACATAATCTCGGTGGTTTTCTGTCTGTGACTACTTTTTTGTCCACTACAATGGTTAAGCAGCTAGCTGCTGTGTTCGGTGGCAATGGTAGTGAAGTTGACAAGCAAAGTGTTCTGTTTCAAATTGATATCGATCAATCGGTAAACAAGTTTCCCTATGCTAATATCTCTACGGAAAGTGTATTCGGTGAAGAGGCAGGTGAAATTCTATTTACAATGGGCTCTGTCTTTCGTATACTTTCAGTTCAATCAGCTGGCACTAATATGTGGTATATCCATCTGAAACTGACTGGTGAAGAAGACGAAGAGCTGAGGAATTTAACTGAGTATATGAAAGGCGGTCTTGATAAATTTTCGCCTGAAATTCATTTGGCAAGATTACTATTCGAAATGGCTCAGTACAATAAAGCAGTAAATTATTTAAACATAGCAATGCAAGACTCACAGCTTATGGAAGATTGTATTGTACGTGTTTACATCTACAATGAACTCGGAGATATATACGGCGCAATTGGGGAAGGAGATAAATCTGCAGAGTACTATAGAAAAGTGCTCGAGATAGATCTTAGACACTTGCCTGAACATCATCCAGCTTTAATGGTAGCCTACAGTATTATAGCCGTGATGCATAAGAGAGACGGCGATTTGGAACAGACATTATTCTACTATAATAAAATGTTGGAAATAAGTTTAAAACATCCAGAAGAGACTGAATGTTCTGATGCTGATAGTGACTATAAAAACATTGCTGTCGTCTACAAAAAACAAAAACGTTACTCAGAAGCAATGGAAATGTGCCGAAAAGCTTTAGAGATTCAATTCGAAACTTTGCCACACAATCATCCATCATTTTCAACAACCTATCAGTACATGTCAGAACTATTTGCTATACAAAAAAACTATGAAGAGGCAAATCAATATTTACAAAAAGCATTAGAAATTCAAAAAAACTCCCTATCACCAGATCATCCTGATTTTATAAAAACATACAAAGATTTATGTTTATCATACTATAAACTAGACAAGTTTAAAGAATCTTTGGAATGTATGAAGAAAGCAAATGAATTACGATTGAAACACTTACCGGCAATAAAACACTCGAATGCAGATGCTGCAAATAACAAGTTCCAGAAACGAATTCAAGAGGCAAATGAATTATTAGAAGTCATTCAGCAGAGAGAAGAAAAGAGTACCCCAGCAGACAACGATTGACTTAAATCAACATTAATCCTATCTGCAACTAATATCTACGGCCGCTTTTCTTCCTATTTACCATCGCTTCTGAAGAGAAACTTCGTTTAAACTGTAAACGCTGCAACAGCTTTTTCCTGCTTCTAACACATTTTAAGATATACATCCTTTGTAAGCATCAGCAAACTGTAAATTACACTTGAGGTATATCTCGCTGAACATTTAGATAGTGTTGGAATAAGACAAACGAAGCCTTGTAGCAAGTAACTACAACGGTCCATTTGTGATCGTTTAGTGCAATCAATACAGAAACCCCTAAACAACGTCTTTGATACGTGGAAAAAACCACGTTCCTAAACGTGAACCACTTCTTTCAAATGACATTTCATTTCCCACAAGTTCGATAAGACTCACCCAACAGCCCGCGTGATGAAGCGTCCGTGGTGACAAACTATTTAGGGGAATTCTACAGAGTTCCTAGTTTTCTAGAACACTTGAGAAATAGCTGCTGGAGGTTATGATCAGCGAACAGAAATGATAGTGGAATGCTATCTGTCGCTAGATGAATTTGTTGAATGAGCTTTGCGTTAGGTAAGAACTGGACGTTAGGTAAGAACTTTTCCAGTTGATTACCTCTTTAGCAAAAGAATAATAATAAGTCCTGCTAACCAAAGCAAATAAAACAATCAAACACGACACTACTTACTTTATTAAGTGATGAAACGAGTTATCCTGTAGCAAAACCGTCACTTTGGGTCTGTCGGATTGTAAAAATTTTAACAGCCCGCTTATAATAGGTTCATACTAAATGCAGCCAAAGAGTGACGTAAGTTCTTACCGTTTTACATAGTAGAGGAACTACACAAGTACTGTCAACACATTTGTTGCCTATATTCTCTTACCAACAAGTTAAGATTATTCTGTTTTTCATATTTGGGAAATGACAGTGTAGGTTCTCGAATTTTCTTTATGGCCTGTATACAGAAAAGTACGCAGTACAATATATCTTTGAGTGATTGCTAGAGAAAAGTTAGAGAACTTCTCTCTTCATACCTCTAATCTTTCTAGGCCTGTTTGAATGGATGTAAAAGTTCAAAGAAAACGATGCCCATCCCATAAATATCAACTTTTCCATCATATGGTTCTCCATTTCGCTGCAATTTCCCAAAAAGAAAAAACTACTATAAGTAGTTTTATTCACAAACTAAACACACTCTTTACAGAAAAGTAACGCTATTTATGTTAGATCACGCTGATTCAGAATATGTATAGATTATTTGGATAAAAGCCTTTTATTAATGAAAAGAAGCATTTTATCTGAAAAACCGAGAGCTTTTGAAAATCTTCCTATAGCGTAGATACATTTCCGCGTTTAACCGGTTGTACCACAGATGCAGGAACATGAAACGAGTATTTTATCCAGGCGCACTATGGAAGCTTACCATGGCTAGCAACGTCTCTAGGGAGGAGGGAGAGCGGGGTACCATTAATCGATACCAAAGGAAATATTTTGGTAACAGCATAGTTACTCCTGACTCACCACAGTTTCTTAAAAAATAGACAGCAGCCGCATTTCTTTTATATTTTTTATCGCTATCCTATATTAGTCATGCATTTTTATCGAAAACAAACGGTGGTTCGTCAAATATCCGTAGCGCTATTCAGGACAGTTGACGGCTAACTGTTTCTTTTTCTTATTACCGATTTGTTTTGAAGTTGCTATACGTATATGAACGTGAAAATATACTTCACAATCCGAAACTCACACTATAGTACTGTAGTTGACGAACGACTTAACCGCAATGAAACCCACGCTAAAATGCACAATTCAAAAATTCAAGAGAATGAATAATGACAAAAACGACTAAAAGTAAGATTTGCACTGACATCGCTTTCTCTCAACCAACTAACTGCGATTAACGGAACAATTAATTGTAGATTAGACATAGAAGAAATTACGCCTTGCCAACGAAGAAGAGACTGCTATTGAAATTTCTCTCTTCGGAACCAACAGGAGAATTTTGTTTTCTTTGAAGACAAAAAACAAGCTCGACCTCAGAATGCTTGATTTTTGACAAGTTATTAAAACTTACTAATTATCCCAAAAGTGCATTTTAAAAACCGATGATTTTTTTGACAAAATCGATAAAAAATAAAAGACTTTGTTTCAACCACATGTGACTATGAAGAGTGTTATACCCATCTCCTTTTATTCGAACAATAGAATCAGAAAAACAAAAAGCTTCCTTATTGTAGAGAAACCTCACAATATATAGATGAGAGAGAGAGAGAGAGAAGAATCTGAACACAATGAATGTAGCTATGATAAGAGAAAGAATGATGATAAAGAGGAGGAATGATGACAAAGAGAATGCTATTTGGGAGAGTCATGACTTATGTCAATAACGACTGACATAACAAAGAGTTTCATGCTATAAACTGATGAAACTTTTCAAGAATTATAAAATGTCTCTCTTCTCTCTTTTAATATTTCATAATATGAAGAGCTCGAACTGAAGAAATTATGTGTTGCATTAGAAAAAAAAGAAATTACGGAATTTTCGTCCACAATGTGGATAAACTAGTCCCCGATTCAGGGCATGTAGCACAAAATCTTTTATTTTCTTCAAAAGTCATGGCTGGTTTATGCATACCTAATGGTCTATCATAATAAATTGATTCGACGGAAAATGTTGTTGCCACTTCAATAGGTGCAATAGTACCATTGACTAGATGAAGGTGCATACTGTGCCAAACGTCTTCTGGCACAGAACCATCATATGGCTTCAGTTTTAGTAATTTCATTATTAAAGTTTTGTTTCTTAGAGAAAAGCCTCCATTTCCGACCGATACAGGTAAGTTAAACTTTTTATTCCACGGTGCACCAATAAAGTCCTATCGAAGATAATCAGTAATTTTATGTGGACTATTTGAACAAAATAATGTGTCCATCTGAAAAAAGAGAACTTTTTCGCCGATAACTTTCTGCCAAAACGATATGTTTGTTAACATCCAGTTTGTCCATGCACTCCCGCTGTACTGCTTACCATAGGAGGCTGTTTCGTTTAGAATAATTTGTCCCGATTTAATATATTCGGATAACGAAGAATTACGTAAAAATTGAGAGTTTTCACTGCCATGGAATACTTGTATTGGCCAATCAGACGGTAAATGGTGGCGAACATTCAGAATCGTGTATATCAACTTATCATCGCTTCGAAAATCAAATGTCACTGCTGAATAGAAGGAGGGTGGTCTTGTGGAGGTTAGCGATGTAGTAGACTGAACTGGAACTATAACAGGTCGTGAAGTTAAATGGCTGGTATACAACATAAACAGCAATATGATACAAAATGCGATTATGGTTACTGATGCACGTAAATATAGCATCATCTAGAAAAGTAAACGTTATTGAGAGCGCTTTCACGTGTTACGCAAGAGTAGGATTTATTATTCTCATCTAGAACTTTTTCTCTTGTTCCCGTTCAAATACCGCTACGTCAGTGTTCAAAGCGAAGAAGGAACGTGTTTGCGGACTGATTTGAAGTAGAAGTCGAAATTGTTCTGTCATGATATTCAGGTTAGTTTCTGTAGAGAACGGACGACGAATGAACTAGTCTACTACAACGTTTCGTTAGCCCATTTAAGATTTCAATTGCAATACTAATTTCGGACGATTTAGTGGAGTAGGAACCTTCGGGTGGGCACCCCTCATATTCTATCTAACTTTAAAATTCTTTTATATCCATCTGAAACTTCGAAAGGTTGTTTTTTTAGCTATCTGAAATAGCTTGAGCTATTTAACAGAGTGGTGCCATCTTATACCACTGATCGTGCTGTGAAAATTATATGTCCACAATCCCTGCAATTAGATTTTAAAAATCCATTTCAACATCAACGA